ATTTATTAAATGCTTAAATGAAATGGAAGGGCATTTAAGTAATTATTAATGGGATATTTAATTCATTCATTTTGTCACTCCTAGCCATCCATACACTATGGCCCTAAGTACATAAGTGGTTATAAAATTAAGCTGATATTGAATATGAACATTAAATGGAAATCCACTTATAATAAAAAAATTCCTATGTATTCGTAAGACTTATACGAGTAATATGGATAACATTTAAAGACTGAATTGCTAACCTTAACCCTGGCTCAACAGTAGACAATTCCTGAACTGTCAGCATTAGTAAATTTTGTGAAGGTGAGCAGCTTCGATCATCGTTTCAAAACTTGTCCTCTGGGTTTTAACTTTGAGGTAGAGGTTATTGTGTTCATTTATGTTTTTTGAGCAGTGTAAAAAAAAAATCATAAATAAACACCAAATTAAAGATGTCCTTTGTTTTAAACAGCATTCTATTTGTAAAGCTTCTCTCATACCTGTTTGCATCCATCCTTTACATCACTGACATCTTGTGGCCCCAGTTGGCCACTGTCACTGGAATAGTTTCTGCTTGTCTTATTGTAAAAGTCACCACACACCACCACAGCCACCAATCAAATCTAATCATTGAAATCTCTCCAGGGTAGTTGAATTAAACTGATTCTACAAAAAAATTAAAACTCAGGAAGGGGGCCAAAGACACATAAACACTGTTTACAACAGTATACCTTGAACTGGAAGCTAATGTTAAAGCTGAACTCATATGAAGGTCTTTAGAAATCTTCCCAATGAAGAAGTACATACGATTAGTCTGTTTCTGCTACCAAAAACGAAACATTGCTATCCATAACTCCAAATATGTGACTTCTTTATTGCAGTAAGAGAAATAAGCTTCAATAGCAGGTTGATGCCATGATGCAAAATAGAAAAAAAAATCAGGATTATGAACATTTGAATAACTAAAAACCAGATTTGGCCCGCAGCCTAATTACATTTGGCCCGCGAAGCCACACCAAACTACTATTAGAGCTGGCCTACTGGTATTATACAGCTAATATATATATCGTTTAGTATTAAGCTTTGCTTGTTCCATATTCAGGTTTTCAGCAAAACTTGTTTGAGTCCATAAGAAAAGATTCATTCTTAAATCTGGAGGAAGATTTTTCTTTCAATAAATATTAACGTTAGCCCGCGACTTTGTTCCAGTTTTGAATTCTGGCCCACTGTGTATTTGAGTTTGACACCCCTGCTCTAAATAAACACCTCTGCGTTAGTGCATTTGGTGAGGTCTGTAGTTACAGGCAACAGCTCACATATCAATACAACTCACAGTTAAAGCAGGCATAGTCCTTCATCTTGACATTTTTTTATTTTTTTTTAAATAGAAAGAATAAGAAAAACAAAAACCTTCACCCACATCGACTGTTAGCTTTGTCGTAATTCAGGGGCTGCACCTTCTGAAGGGTGCCTTTGAAGGCTGATTGCGTCACAGCGACGTGATGAGCCTTGGGAGAGCCTCCTTTTCCCCAGATTTGAAGGACAGTTAGGTGTATGCTTCATGGCCCAAACTATCCCAAGTTTCATAGTGCGATGGTGGGTAATTTAAAATGATGGACAGCTCAAGGCCCTTTCACATTGGATGCAGCAGTCACCACAAATTTTGGGTCAGCACAGCACATGCTGTGTCCTATTTGAAAAGGCCTCAAGGAATAATCGCGAAGAAATGCGATGAGCAGAATGTTTGTTGATTTTACGCTGCTTGTGTCAGGGCAGAGTCCGTGACCCAGCATTTTAAGTTCATTTTGTATTTTGTGATTTCTTACATTATATTGAATATATGCTTAGTTCTTGTGTTGACATTATTAGTTAGGGGTTGGTTCTCCTATAATTCCTGATTCATTGTTAGTTTCTTGTCTTTTGTGTCAATATGTCATGTGTTCCTTGTCTGCGTGCTTCATGTTGTCAAGCTTGTGTGCCATGTCTAAGTCTTTAATTGTTTCCTGTTTTATTTTGAAAGTCTGGTGTTTCTATGTTAAATGTGCTTATTTTTACTCTTCCCCTGTGGTGTCATTGGCTGTGTCTCAATTCAGTGACTACATCCTTCGGAGGCCGCATTTGAAGGTCGAATACGTTACAGCAACGCCTGTGTATAATTAGTCTGTGTGTGTGTCATTCAGTCTTTGTCAGATCGTCTGCTATCCTGCCACTTCATGCCATGTCCCAGGTCTTCATGTATTTATGCCAGGTAGCCACGTTTAAGGGTTTTTCATGTTTAAGATGTGTCATGTTTTCTGTGTAGTTTTCCCACTTTTGGTTATTGTTTAGCTTCGCCTTTTGTTTTGTAATGTTTTACCAGCCTTATTAAACTTGGGTCCTCTTCTTCACTCCACACAGTCAACTTTGCAGTTCATGAGTATGTCAATAACCAGCATGAGTTAAATTTAAAGGCAATAGAGGGGCTCTGATGACATGATTAGCAGTGACCTTCTGTCAAAGAGTGAAAACAGAAGTGTCACAGAGAGCTGATTCTACCACCACAGTGACTGACCTCTCCACTAGTGTCCCATTCAAGCCATTTGATATTCATTGTCTCACATTAATGAACAGATGCAATTTGTAGCAACACACTACTCCCTACAGGGGCGATCGTGGCTCAAGAGTTGGGAGTTCGCCTTGTAATCGGAAGGTTGCCGGTTCGAGCCCCAGCTTGGACAGTCTCGGTCGTTGTGTCCTTGGGCAAGACACTTCACCTGTTGCCTACTGGTGGTGGTCAGAGGGCCTGGTGGCGCCAGTGTCCGGCAGCCTCGCCTCTGTCAGTGCGCCCCAGGGTGGCTGTGGCTACAATGTAGCTTACCATCACCAGTGTGTGAATGTGTGTGTGAATGGGTGGATGACTGGATATGTAAAGCGCTTTGGGGTCCTTAGGGACTAGAAAAGCGCTATATAAATACAGGCCATTTACCATTTACAGTACAATACTGTTAAACTGAAGCTCACAGTTTAACTTCTATGTAGACAGAGGGGGGTTGTAAGTAATCCAGAAAAGGGTTTGATTATAAAAGTTGCTTACAGCTTTGTTAATTCTCTTTTGTTTTCTATTCTATTCATTCATTCTTGTCGCTGCTTCGGTTTTGTCTCTCTGTGGGTGTCTTTCACGTTTCCCCATTTAGTTATCGGTTAATCAGTTTCATCTCTCCATTCAGTTATGTCTCACTTACTGTTTTATTTTACTGACTGTTGCCCTGTCTTAGTTTGTGTTTAGTTTTACTTCCCCTTGAGTCATTATGCTAGCTTCCCTCAGCTGTGCTCCCACCTGTTTCCCCTTGTTATCTCGTGAGTGCTTATTGTCTGTGTCTCTTTCTGTCCTTTTAAGTTTGTTCAGCCTCTTAAATTCTCCATTCAGGTCCACTTCCTGCCTGCCACGATATTGGCATATCGTTCATGATAATGTGGATTTATTGTGATAACTGGGTCTGAGGATGATCTGTACTGTCAGAATGAGCTTACTGTAATAGTGTGCCTTTATAAATCTTCTGTAGATTCCAGTCATTTCACATTCTGAGTTTTTATGATGAAGTCTCAGATTTTTACAACCCTGACTTTGGGACCAGTCAGATGACTTCCTGATACTGTGAGAGACGAGGTTTGCAGTGGGACTGTATGCAGTCCAAAAAAAATCCTCTGGTCTACACGTGCTGTGCTATTTGGAAACCGAATTTCCCAGAGGAGCCCACCCGAGGGATTAATAAAGTTTATCTAATCTAATCTAATGAAATGTGTAAACCTGACTGTCATGTTTATTGGACTAAGAAAACACTCAGAGCAACTGCACTGTCACAAGTCTTATTTACAAGAAAGAATGAGTTTAATAGGAAGAGGGAAGTGGCTTGAATAAATTTATTACCCAACAGGAATGAAACAAAGAGCTCCTCCAGAGAAGAAATGTTACGAATGGTCAAGGTGAGTTCAAAAAGTTCTTGAAATATTTGTGATTTGGTTCTGAGGCCTTACTTGTTTGCTTTTTAATCAGAGAATCTGGAGTAACTGGCGAGCAGATGAAATGCCGCTGCTCAGAGTGCAATGCAGGAGAATGGCAAAGCAGGTAAATTACTGGGAAGTACTTTCCTTTTCAGGTTCAGAAATCAGCTGGAAGGTTTAGTTAAGAATAGCTAGCAGTGGTTGTGAAAATCCTCAGGAGCACCAGGAGGCTGACAAAGTTACTGGCAAACAGCACTAGCATTAGCATGTTTCAGATGGGGCCTGCTTGCCACCATGGTGAGAAATAACAACCTTCAGAAAAAAGAACAAGGAATGATTGCCCACAGCTCCACCCGAGAATTACTGGGGATTTATACTTCAGAAGGCAGCATCAATTCAAGTCCACAAATCCACACCAGGTCGATGCAGCCTGCAGCGTGTTCAGTACTGTCCACACTTCATGTGCATTTTTGGCTACTTCTTCACTGCAGTTTTTGAATATAGCAGTGACAGAGTAACACCCCTAAAATAAACTGAAAGTTGGGAGCCAGGAGGGGAAAAGTGGCAGCATTTTATTTTTTTCTATTGACTGGTATAAAATGCCAGGAAACAATCACAAAATAAGGTCAGCCACAAAGATCCTCCAGAAATATGTAAATCAGGCCTTAGAGAGATGGCTTTCAGAGGGAGACAGACAAAACCTCAAGCCTGTCAGGATCGCTTTGGTTGCTGTATCCTTCAAGGTCATCTGTAACCCCAGTTCCAAGAGCGTTAATGTGAAGTTGTACTGGGACTCTCTGAGAGGTTTGTTTTTAATGAGCAGATGTGATAAAATATTTCAACAGTGGTTTGAGAGTCTACATGCGAACAATCACAATCTTTGTCTCTTGGTTCACTGTTAGGGTTAAACTTTCTGGGGGGCGTGATTATTCTTTCACAGATGTATTGTATAGCACATACAGATACTAAAAACCACACCTCTTCAGACCACCCTATATGAACTTGTAGAGCACCATTTCAGGGACATCGTGTGCACAATGAGGAACTTTGACTCTCTAACAGTTTTACTTGTCTGCAGCCTCAGTAAGTACAGCAACTCATTTACTCCACAGAACCAGCTGATTCTGTTGATTAAGATTCTGTTGCTTTAATGTTTGTGTTTATTTATTTTCTTTTGTTTTTCAGGTTGGATCCCTGTATCACAACCTGTGGAGGTTCAGTCTGGAAAAGAAGTCACGCTGCTGTGCTCCAACTTTTCCAGTTCTCCCACACAGATACTCTGGTTCAGAGTGACCAAGAGAGCCAAACTCACCTGTATCGCCTCCATGTTCGAACCTCATGAACCTGCTTCATTCTGCACTGGATTTAAAAATGGAAAATTTGAAATGAGCACTAATTTATCCACTGTGTTTCTCAAAATTAAACAAGTGGATTTATTGGACTCTGGACTTTATTTCTGTGGATTTAAAATAGACCGCAGTCCGGTTATTGTTGAAGCAACAGATTTAGTGGTCCAAGGTAAGAATGACCTCTTCATTTGGTTTTATTGAATTTCATGAAAATAAGAGTCAAAGTTTAAGATGTTAGATTCTGAACCACACATTTAATAAACTGCAGCTGCTGTCATTTCATTTATTATAATCTGTCTTTGTCACAGACACTTTTATCGGATTACCAAATGTGATGAGTGTGATCCTCGGTGTTCTGACTGTTTTCCTCATCACAGTCATCGTTTGTCTGGCTGTTAAAATCAAAAAGCTTCAGAAAGGTATTTTTATTGTAACAGATTTTTACATGTCTTTTATGATTACACTTAAAAAGGAACAACAACTATTTTCTATTTTAAAAATCCCCCAACAGGAATATTTTTAATATTATAATTCAACCAACCTCATAAATTGTTTGTACTTTTTGCCGTAGTTCACACTGAAGGAAAGAATCTACAACAAGAAGAGGTGAAGTGTTTCATTTTGTGTCCTTCACACTCTTTATCAGTTAATGTTGGTAGTTTTTTACTCAGCCGTGAGACTGACAGTTCTCTTATTCACAGAGGCAGAGCTCAGAGCACCTGCACTATGCAGCTGTGACATTTCATCCAAAAACAGAAAGTCCTCACAGGCCTGCATCAGCCACAGAAGTGGACTCAGATGTTATTTACCGAGCACTTCATGGAACCGAGGTGTCATTATTGATCTGCTGATGTTTGTTTGGTGGATATTGTCATGCTGTGAAATCACAAGTGAAAATGTACATGAATCCTATTGGTGTCCTGTGTTACTGTTATAAGTGGTCTATATGTCATATGTCAAAACATTTTAGCCTCCACAATCTTTATTGTGTTTTTTGTCCTATCTTCCTCCCCTCACCTCAACTGGTTGTGGCAGATGCCTTTTCCTCTTTGGAGGTTTCTTCTTGCTAAAAGGGAGTTTTTCCTTCCCACTGTTGCCGAGTACTTGGGATCATGTAATTGTTGGGGTTTTCTCTGTATTATTGTAGGGCCTTTACCTTACAGCAGAAAGCACCTCGAGGCAACTGCTGTTGAGATGTGCGGCTGTATGAATTGAATTGATATTAGTGTCAGCCACTAATCAAAAACGGATCAATCACTCAGAATTATCAGTGCGAGAGGAAATAATTTGAACAAAGGTAACAGGAATGAATGTATTTCTGTCTGCTTCATATTATGCAATATAATATCAAGAGGTTATGAAGGTATTTTGTCGAGCCATATGTTTTTTGTAAGTATGGTTTTTAGTGTTTGTTGGAGCAGTTTAGCCAACATTTTGCTGTGATCTTTAATTTGAGTTTCTAGTTATAATTTTCATTATTTTATGTTATAGTGTAATATACCGTGCTTCATAAATTGATCCTGCTTTGTTAGTCTTTTGTGTTGTTGTAAAGTGTTGGTAGGTGTCGTAAAGGGGGTGTGTTAAGCACGAGGGGGGATGAAAGGTTAGTCAAGTAAGCAGGACCCGGAGCAACAGTTTTCTAACCGGCACCGTTTATTGTGCTTTTGTTGTAACATAAAAGGAATGTAAACGGAGCTCCCACCAGAGGCCTTTGTTTGTATTTTTCAGTTTGTATGGAGAATAAATGTTTTTTCCTTTTTTACAAGCGCCTTGTTTTTGCTACCGAAAGGCATACAAGCGATTCAACAAGAGCACGAGTCAGAAACTTAAGTCCTGCAGAAGCGGCAAAGAAGGACCGAAGGTTGCCGCTACAGTGTTTGTGTTTTTTATTTTTGGTGCCAGCCTCAGGTGGCCATTGGAGGTACTGCACTTCTAAGCAGGCAAAGTTTTATTTTAGTCCTGGATGTTGCCATTTGGCTTTAATTCGGTATTAACAATTCTATATCGATATCATGGCACAGAAAAATGGGACAGTGTTATGATACAGTGAGCATTTGTACAGTTATTTTGGTCTTATTCTCAGAATTCTTTTATCTGTAATCAATCTTAAATATCAGTACAAATATAAAGGCCTTTCATCATCTTAAATCTTCTCATGTCTCATATAGCTTCACAACATCTTACAATGTTAGTAAAGGCAGAGCATAAAAGATAAAAATAAATAATTAAGTCATCTGCTAAATGCCAAAAGAATAATAAGTTGATAATGACAGGTTACCAGCCGTTCTTCATTCTCATCTTGTCAAAGCCGTGCAACTGCTGACCGTTAACCACAACAGAGCTGACTCTGTATCAAGTAGTGAATACTTCCTGTCAGACTGTGCAGAGTGTTTTCACAGACTAAACAGATCAGGGACATTAGCGTTATGCACTGGTGGTTCCCATTAACAGTAAAAGTTCAAATGTATAACTTTTTATTTCTTTAGATTTGCAAGGGTTGCAATATGTATCATTTTAACAAATTGTAAGCTTTTGTGCAGTGATTCAGTGATTTTCCATTTTAGTTATTGCATGCTTTGGTGTTTTAGTGTTTTGTGGGGAGTGGAGATTCCACTCTCGTCCAACTGCCACCTATTTGGAGTTGAGTACAGGGAGTAGCTGACTGGTAATGATTTGAATCCTTCTCTATAAAGGGGAGAGAAAACAGGAAGGAAGGGGATTTTTCTGTAGGACACAGTTATAGTGGGGAAGATGGTTGAAATTTTTGACTCCAGTGAGAGCGTGTGAGGTAGCATAACTTAAACAGCAAGGAAGGTGATAAGTAAATAGCATCAGCAGACCATTTAAGTTCTTTTAAGTATCCTTTATTTCTGGCATCTCCATTCTACCATAAAACAATTAACCTGGTATGCAAAAATCCCACTTGCTTTATACACCTGACCTCGTTAGTCTCTACCATTGAAACAAATAGGTCAGACCAAACAATACAATTCTAAACAAAGAACAGGAATAAGATCATGCATGAAGTTGACCTCATGACCCTATATAAACACGAAGTACTGGGGCGGCTCTTCCCATATACCTGTCTTAAATATAGGACCTGAATAAACAACATGGACAAACATGGTTAAAAAAACACATGCATGGATGTAATGGATGTAACTACTGCTACCACAAACAAAACCCGGGATAGTGTGTGTTAAGCAAAGTTACAGCAGCAATGTCTAAATTAAAGCATTATGGCTGACTGTAAAATAACAAGGAAAGAAATTATCAATATGGTTAAGGGATAAGTGGTAAATGAGTTCATGCCTAACCACTTTGTCACAGAGAGGTGAGCATTTTAGAGCAAACCCCTCCAGGCCTGCAGGGTTTTGCGTTAAAGTGATCAAATGACAGTGGGTGGAGGATTTGTTTCAATTATTATTTATATGGATTTGTTGTGATAAAAAAAAAGACTGGATTGGAGACTGTTGGTGTGCTGGACCTGCATATTCTGGGAGTTCACAGAGGAAAAGCCTACTCCGAAATTAGAGGTAACCGATGAGAGGAAACTGTTCAAGACTTGGTGAGGAAGAGCAATATTGACATGTGCTTGGCTGTGTTTTCTCAGTGACCACCTTTTCCTGTTTTTAACCAGGCTAACAATTTTGACCATGGTGGCTTTGGACCTTGGATTGCAGGCCAGATCTGTGTCTGCAGCCACTAGTCTGCTTCAGAGGAAAATCTTGTATGCCCTAGTTTCACTTTGAATGTGGTGGTTTTCCACAGTTCACTATTTAGAACGTATTCATTTCCTGTGATGATGCCATTTTTGTGGCCCCTTTAGCATTGTCAACAGGATTGTGGCCAGTATATGAAACCACCTGCCTTAAAGTGATCAATATGGCAGATGAATTATCCAAAACTGTTAACATGGTCTCAAAAGTGGTCTGTAGTACAGCAGTGTGATTTTCTGCTGAGTGCAAAACCGTATGGGGATAAAACGGCTGTGGGTACCTTGCATGCCATGTTTTACAATTGCAGACAAAGGCCAGAAGAGCCTATTAGAAAGTTTACTTTACGTTCCAGAGAAGTCACCGCCTGCAGATAACGGAGCCACAAGACCCTTGGTGTGCTGACCTGCACATGCGTGATCAGTTTGCCTTAGGCCTCAGAGAAGGTGCGATATAAAATCTACAGCATCTGTTAAAGCATTACCCTAATCTCCCATTCAAACAGGTGAGCAAAGAGGCCTTACAGTGGGAAGCAGGCCTCTTTGTTACCAGTTATTACCAGGTTTTTGTTGTTGTTTTTTAATCCTATAATGCAAATATTTTTAACATTAGAAAATTTATTTTTGAATTATATTTTTTGCCGTAGCTCACACTGGAGAAGACAATCTGAAACAACAGGTGAAGTTTTTAGTTTTGTGTCTTTCACTATTTATCAGTTAATGGTTGTTTACTTTTCTACTCAGCTGTGAGACTGACAGTTCTTGTATCGACAGAGGCAGAGCTCAGGACTCCGGCACAATGGAGCTGTGACATTTTGGCCAGACACAGAAAGTCACCACAGCCCTGCATCAGTGGACACAAATGTTATTCCTCTGCTCGATAGACTCAGAAAGTAACTGAGCTTTCTGGCTGGTGGCTGTTCTTCTTTATAGGTTTCTTCCTCCTCCTTCGGTATTAATAATTCTAGATGAATATCATGGCACAGAAAGATGGGACAGTGTTATGATACAGTGAGCATTTGTACAGTTATTTTGGTCTTATTCTCAGAATTCTTTTATCTGTAATCAATCTTAAATATCAGTACAAATATAAAGGCCTTTCATCTTAAATCTTCTCGTGTTTCATATAGCTTCACTGCATCTTACTATGTTGGTAAAGGCAGAGGAACTCATGTACCTGTTTCCTAATAAATAATAGGGGGTTGTGAGAATAAATAAAAAAATTAATGAAATCATATCGATACTGCATAGAAATATATTTGACATGCCTAGAAAAGGCCTCCGCTAAATTCTAAAAGAGTAATAATTTGATAATGACAAGTTCACAACTTGTTTTTCATGCCCATCTTCTCAAAGCTGTGCAACTGCTGACCGTTAACCACAACAGAGTCAGTGGTTGCTTGACGTCTATACATAGTCATGACAAATACGAGCGCCTTTAGAACTTGTGAAAACACTCTGCACAGGCTGACAGGAAGTATTCACTACTTGATACAGACTGAACAGATCAGGTACATTAGCGTTACGATGGTTCCCATTAACAGTAAGAGTTCAAATGTATAGCAAAGTTTCGTTGTTTTTTTTTCTTTAGATTTGCAAGGCTTGCAATATGTATCATTTTAACAAATTGTAAGCTTTTGTGCAGTGATTCAACATGCACTTTTAAACCTCAGGGATATCATTCTGTCGATATGGGAAGCATAAATAATTGTGAATCAATTTGATCTCTTTTGATGTAAATGGATAAGACAACACAACCAGTAAAAAGGGAATGGATTTGCAGGTAGTGGCTGCAGGCTGTCCCCTTCTCCTTGTCCCTCTGGACTAATTTTTGTCTAGTTTTGCTTTTTGCTAGTGTCCTTTCTTTACTGGTAGCAGTATAGGTGTTGCTACAGCATCTCCAGACCATTTTATGGGGGTAATCCTGTTTAGTTTACTTTTCCATGTATCTATGTTTGCTTGTATGGCCCAGTTATTATGACCCAAACTGGCCAAGCACTATTGATTCATTCTAATTTATGTAGTATTAACCGTAGCATCTAATTACTTGTGACAGATGAAAGATGTGAAAGATGAAATGAACTGCCCAAACGTGGACATTTGCATCTAGCTGTCAGATATTCATGTTGTGATTATCTTAACCACTACTGTTGGGTGGCAGATACATTTCAAATAAGACTGTGCAGATTTTTTTATGGCCACTCTAACCTACAGCGTTTCAAGAACCAATTTTACAATTTATCTTGTGATACTTTATTTGAAACTGTGAAAAATGCCTAAGATAACACACAATTGTATTTTTGCACCAACAAGGTGATTCCCGAAGAGGTTGAGCAAAAAAAAACTAGTATAACACAGTATGATGTGCAGTGTCTCCTTAAAAATTTGAGGAAACTGGACAAGTGAAGGACAAAAGAAAACATGCCAAGTCTAAAATTGAATATTGCAAAAATATGTACGGACCTTAGTGTCTGCACATGTGTTTTGACATGTGTGCATTCACTGCTGTTGTACATTTTAGAGAAGCTGTAAGGAAAGACTTCCGAACTCTCTCCCTCGCATACTGTGGGTGCACCAATGTGTTACCGAAGGAGCTGTCCAGTGCTGTCAGGATGACCCTGGTGTATTGATGTCTGTGTGTGTCTGCACATGTGTAGTCGTCTGCAAGGTGTTGTAGAGTCTGACAGCAGTTGGAAGGAAAGACTTGTGGAATCACTCCGTCTCACATCGTGGGTGCCGCAGCCACTGAAAGAGCTGCTCAGTGCTGTCAGAGTCTCCTGCATGGGGTGGGAGATATTGTCCAATGGGGATGACAGCTTAGCCACCATCATCCTGTCACTCACAACCTATACTGGCTCCAGGGGGCTCTTAGAGTTGGCCCTCCGGATCAGCTTGTTCAGTCTCTTCCTGTCCCCAGCAAAGATGCTGCTGCCCAGCAGACCACACCATGAAATATGGCTGAGGCCACCACGGAGTCATAGAAGGTCTTCAGGTGTGGGCCTTTCACTCCAAAAGACCTGAACCACCTGCAGCTATCCACACTCTCAATGTCCATGCCTTGGATGTTTAGTGGTTGCAGTGGAGGATGTTTGTGCCTGCGGAAGTCTACCACCAGCTCCTTGGTTTTACTAGTGTTGATCTGGAGGTAGCTCTGCTGGCACCAGTTCAAAGTGATCTGCCACGTGATACAATCTGAAAAGTGTTTGACTGGCACATTTATTTATCCTCAAAAATAAAGCAGTTGCCAAACATATGATAATGGTCCCAAACACACTGCTGATGCAGTAAAAGCATGTCTGGATTTAAAAAACAAACAAACACAAACTGCAACATCATCATTTGGCCTCCCCAAGTTTAACATTGTTGAAGAAGTATGGGTACAAAAGATGGTAAACATCCAAAGAAGAGTTCTGAATATCATTCAGGAAGGCTGGAAAATTATTCCTCATGACTACAAGAAAGCTGCCCAACAGATTGCAGGCTGTGTTGAAGAATAGACGTAATCATACCAAATATTGGCTTTCGTTTGTAAGCTGAGCAGGTTACTAATGGCATACAGAAGATATTCAGCTTACTCACAGTATGATGTATGCTGTATTCTAAACAGTAAAGAGTATTCAGCCACATTTCCTGTGTCTAACTTTCACAATTTACTCTGCAGCGGCTACATCATCAGATAAAGCCGTAACCAGCTGTACATGTGTTGCTTTCTCAGTCATAGTCGTCTGTTTGTCGTGCAGAATGTGTACAGACTTGAGGATGAGTAAGGCATGCATCTGTTAACCTATCCAACAGTGCACGAAAAGAAAATGTTTAATGTCATTTCATGCTAAAGTCAACATCTTTGCCCCTCTAGTTTACACCTTAATCTGTAGGTTTCCTTTAACCTGGCTGCATAAGAGAACCTCTTTCCTGTTGAGGCCATCTAGTCAAAACGTAGGGTCAAGAAAAGCTCACAATAATCATTTATGTCCATCTGATAAATAAACATTTCTAACTAAATGAGACCCAAATTAACAAAAATATGTGATAAAATATGTTTCATCACAGCGCTTTGGTGACATTTTGTGGAGGTAATGCTAAATTATCTATGTAGGAAAATTAACTTTCACCTTTAATCTTAATTATGCAAATTCTCATGACCATGAGTGACGAAACGTTTCTCCCACAAAACGCTACGTCCAGATGAACAGAATCAACTTTTGGAGATTTACTTTCCTGGATGATTGAGAATGCATCAAGACGCTTCTGCTCAAACATTGATGTACCCGGTTTGAATGAAGAAATAAACATGTACAGTACTCCACCTCTTTAAAGCAAAAGATCTCAGAGATAAAGTGTCATAGCAGTGAGGCAACGCACACAATGAGGAGCTTCATCTGGATACCAGCTTTATTTCCCTGCAGCCAGAGTAAGTACTGAATTAGGAATTGTTTAATATTAGCTGTCCCCTTCTCAGCTAAAAATAAATCAAATCTGAACAGTTTCTTTTAGACTGGATTTCTGTTTCGACCTCTGAGTCTGAGACTGTGGAGCCTTGTCATGCCACTGATATTTAAGGGCTCTTAAATGTGTTTGCCTTGAGGAGAATTTGTGTAAAATGTAAACATTTTAAATTCATAAAGTTTTGTCTCCTTTATTGATCATGCAGAGCAGTGTTCCAGTTTAATAACTAAGCTGGCATGTTTGATGATGGCTACTTTGGCTGCTGTATTTCTAGTGATCACCATCGGTAGGTAGTAAACGAATCGCTGCACTGATCCTACTTTTGTCTCCACATGATGTTACGTAGTTCATGAACAACAACACATTCACCAAGAGCAGAATCCTTGCATTTTTTGAGGATCTTGTGTTCAGTAGGAGTATCTGAGATGTGTTTTCTTGAAACACTGTTTCTGCGGCTTTCAAACCATAAAACGCACTACTCCAAAACTTGGTCCACTCCAAAGACCAGTCTAAGGAACTTGGAAAGAAAAGTGTCTGGACATCTTTAGGTTTCTTGAAGATGTCACCTCTCATCTGAGAAACTTCTTTTCAGTTCTAAGAGCAATTGGTGGAGAGTGCAGAACCTTCACAGACATATTGCCTTCCAAGGACCAGGTTCCCCAGCACAAACAGTAGTACAGTACACAAGGTGCAAGGACCATTGCCATAAACGTGTAGATTGGGGAAACCAAACAACCCCTGGCTAAGCAGATGACACGACAAATAAGAGCTGCCTCCTCAGGCCGGGACTCTGCAGTCTATTTACACCAACAGAGGACTAGCCACTCTTTCAGTGATCAGGTTGTGCACTTCATTGACAGGGAGGAACGGTCCATCCTGTGAGCATTGCAGAGGAACATTAAGTACTCAGTGATGGACAGGAAGGTGTTGCATCCACCAGGATCAGTTGGACAACAAGACTTGGGGAGGGGGAAAAAAAAAAAAAAAAAAAAGACCAAATGACAGAAATCAATGAGCTACAACTCTTAATACACAGCACATTGTTGCGTTTCTGAAAAGTGTTTCAAGTTCTGCAGGTTGGGACCCATTCTTCAGACAAACAGAGATCCCATAACAAGCAATTCATCATTTGCTGAAAGTCTACAAGGAAGTTTGCCGCTTAAATTATGTTTATCTGTCTCTCTAACCAAGCCTAACTTACCCTTAAATTAAGATTTTCCAATTAAGGTGAATAATAATGGACTTGATCTTTCACCTCGCGTATTTGTTTAGTGATTTTTTCCTCACTACACTGATCAAATGCTTTGCTACATTGTTGTGATTTGGCTCTATAAATAAAACTGAATCGAATCGTCCCTCCACTGGGCTCGTCACATCCCAGCCCAGCTCACACTCTGCACTGGAGTCTGTCGCTCGATGCCACTGCGGCTCCCCTCGTGTCATCGCCCTGTGAGTAAACAAATAGGGGCCAGAAGCATCATCCCGGAAGCTGGCATGGCTAATAGCTGTGGCGACCCTCTCCCAGCACAGCTGCACCTGGTGAACAACAGTGGAGACACTACTCACAGATGTACTTCTGCCGTGCCGTCAATCACACGCATTGTCTCCTACTGTCAGGACTGGGTTGCCACGTTACACTGACTGGTCAGTCTCCAAATGAGTCGCCACACTTCACAATCAGGCAGGAGGTCCCTCTTTTTCACACTGGCATTAGTACTCAGCCAGCTCCCTTTTAATAGGTCCATTAACAGCTGATAGGTCACCTCAGGACACATGGCCTCAGCAGGTGATCACTATCAGCCAATTTGTCAGGACCAGAGGAGTTTCCCGCCTTCAGGCTCGCACACCTGGTGGCAATAACCCACTTGCTCTGATGATTTCATTTGGGCAGCTTAATAAGGAAGCAGCGGTGGATCAGGCTTTGTTTGACTGTAGCCCTGAAAGCAGTTCAATAAGAACAGATCATTAGAATGAAAGCAACATGCTTTACTGATGTCCAGAATTTTAAATTTTGGCGGTTAGAGTCCAACAGCCCGTCTCAGCACAACAGAACCCCAGCGGTGATAAGTATTAGAGTCGGACCTCTCAGAGTCTAGACGCTGGTGGTGGTAGAGATGAAGATGGAGGCTGAGCGATGAGGCGGGTTGCACAAAGGCATCTCCAAAGGAGAGTGACAGATAGACAAAGACTGGCTTGACAGTCTATTCCTGTAATGCATTTTATAAAGTTAATTTTTGAGAACGCAGCTTCACAGGTGTATGTTGAGCCAAACATGGTGAGCACATACATGGCTAACGTGTATCATACTCTTGGGGACAAGCCACCCAACGGTGCTCAAGCTTTCCGATAGCCGATAGTGGAGTCCAGGTCTCTTGGTCATTCTGAACCAGAACATCTCTGGAGAGCAGCCTTCATGTCACTAGTGGCCTGGATGTCAATCAGTTCACTTCAAACAGCTGCCTCGTCAAGGCCAGTATATGGCTTGTTGTGCTTGGAGAAAACCCAGGCAGCCTGCTGAGACGTGGTTATTTTCCCTCTCTTGTTCAGTTAAAGTTCAGTTAAGTTTCAAAGCATCATTTTTTTTTCTCTGATGGGTCTCTGACTGTTCAGGATATGACGCTTTGAGGTTTAAATACTTTGTGGTGTTGTGGTAGCTCAATTTATATTCTTCAGCAACAGCGACAGTTTCACTGCAAATGAGGTTTACAGGTACAGCGTTTCTAAAGGTTGCCCTATGAATACATATCGGTTCAGTCTTCATTATAGCAGCGGTTTTCTGCATCAACTGTCCGCTTGAGGTTGTGTTGTTGAGGTAAAGGTTAAGGTTAGGTTTTCTTTGCAAACCATGACATTGCATGTGACAGTGATGGACAACATGAGGGCCTCACAAGTATGAAGCTTAACATATCACAGTCGCCCTCTTGTGGCTTGTTGCAGTACCGATAATGAGTCCATCAACACTGACCAGGTGAAGAAATAACATCAACTTGGGAGGAAAAATATAATGAAATAATCACATATTACCAATGATACTGTATTATTTTATTGTACAACAGCATCTGCCCCTCAATGTCTGCCAAGAAAAATTCAGGCCCTTGGACAAATGTAGTTGCCGACCCCTGCCATAAGCTCATTCAAAAGTCATTAAGCTGTTTTCCTGTAATAATAATAATAATGGATTAGATTTATATAGCGCTTTTCAAGGCACCCAAAGCGCTTTACAATACCACTATTCATTCACTCTCACATTCATACACTGGTGTAGGCAGCTACAGTTGTAGCCACAGCTGCCCTGGGGCAGACTGACAGAAGCGAGGCTGCCATATCGCGCCATCGGCCCCTCTGGCCAACACCAGTAGGCAAGTCGGGTAAAGTGTCTTGCCCAGGGACACAACAACCAGGACAGAGAGCCCAGGGATCAAACCGGCGACCTTCCGGTTACAGATGCGATTCCCTAACCCCCTGAGCCACGGTCGCCCTAGACTTCTACAGGACCAAAGTCTTTCTTTGCAACAGCATCTATTGCCATCTGGTGGCTTTCTGAGAGAATACAGGCAATGGACTTACACATTGCCTTCCCTTCCCCAACCCAGAAGCTGACATCCATATTTTATACTGTCTATGGCCCAAACCGATTCAGTTGGCACTCACAATTTAAGTCAAAATTAAGTGCAATTAACTGTTTTTTGCTTTTAATGGAAAGCTTGATGAATTATTAAACATGGTGTGTACAACATACTTTCAAGGTTGAAGATTTATTTTTAATTTGGTTAATTTGTTTATATGTGGACAATCATGTAATTTGTCTCTTACATTTAATTTTCTCAAAGCAAACGGTAACATTTATACAAACAATTTGAAGAAAGCAGCACTGGAGACTAATTAGCAAATCATCAGTGTTAAACTGTGTGTAGGCGTGTTCATATGTGTGTGCTTATAGTAGAAACCACACCTTTTCAGACCTTTGTGTAGAGCTCCATTTCAGGGGCATCGTATGCACAATGTGGAGCTGTCCCTCTCTCACAGTTTTGTTTCTCCTCAGCCTCAGTGAGTGGAATTCATTTACACCGAATTGATTGCATTTTCTATACGATTCCGTTAATTCATTTGCCAAAACTTTATCTTGCATGTCCAGTTTTTTGGAGGTTTTTTTAAATTTCTGTTTTGTTTTGTTCTTATTTTCAGGTTGGATCTCCGTCTCTGTTTCTGATTCTCAGACTTTTGAGGTTCAGTCTGGAGAAGAAGTCACGCTGCTGTGCTCCAACTATTCCAGTTCTCCCACAGAGATATTCTGGTTCAGAGTGACCAAGAGATCTGAACTCCACTGTATCTGCTCTATGTCCCAGCCTCATGAACCTGCTTCATTCTGCACAGGAATTCAAAGTGGAAAATTTGAAATGAGCACCAACATATCCACGGTGTTTCTTAAAATCAAACAAGTGGATTTATGGGACTCGGGGCTGTATTTCTGTGGAACATACTTAAGCAATTATGCAGTTATTGTTCATGCAACAAATGTAGAGGTCCAAGGTAGGAATTTTATATTGATTTCATTTTGATGAATGCATGAAAACATGGATCTAAGTTTTAGATTCGGAATGTTGAAGTTGGAAAATCTTCCTAGCATTAAAACTTAACAACACTAAACTTAGCATTTATTTTATAACTGTAGCACACTGTGTCACTGTTATTTAATTCACTTATGTTTCTCATAGATGTGTTTGATGGATTACCAAAGATGATGAGTGTGGTCCTGGGTGCTCTGACAGTTTTTCTCATTGTGGCCGTCATCTATCTGGCTGCTAAAATCAAACATCTCCAGAAAGGTATTTTTGTTTCCACAGACTTTCACATATACTGTTGCTATATAAGAGAAACATTTTTCTTCTTGTTTAAAAAAAATCCTTCAATAGCATTAGTTAGAAACATTGCAACTAAAATGACTATACAATTTATTTCTGTGCTTTGCAGTACCTCACACTGGAGAACAGAATCTACAGGAAGAGGTGATGCGTTTCATTTTGTGTCCTTCCTAGATTACGATGTTTCTTTTTCTTTACCCGCTTAGTTATGAGACTGACAGTCCTTTCATTCACAGAGCCAGAGCTCAGACCCGGATTATGCTGCTGTGACATTTCATCCAAAAACAGAAAGTCACCACAGGCTGGCATCAGTCAGAGAAGTGGACTCAGATGTTATTTATTCCTCCACTAGATAGAATCAGAAAACATCTGGAACTGTGTGGAACTGAGGTTTTATTATTGATTTTCTGATGTTTGTTTGGTGGATTTCCATAGCTGGAAAAAAAAAAAGAAATTATGAATAAAAGTTGGACAAAAATGAACAAAAAGAAAAATTGTTTTTTAATTTCTTACTATGTGCTATTATTTTAATTGCATGTTTTTTCTTTATAATTCTAGTAATGGCATCTCACTGGCAGAACATGTCTTTGTTTCATATAGTCCCGTAAACCTGATTGATTACTTTTTGCCACTGTTCTTCACTGCCGTTAGCATGAGACAAGGCCTGGGTATTCTCCTGATAAGATAACACACGATGTCACAGGAGATCTCCTCCCAGATTCAGATAGAGGTGATGAGTGATCTCCTGAACAGTGTGTGTATTGGCAGCATTGGATATGTGATATGTAACATCCCAGATTCTTTCAATTTTAGGTCTAAAGAAATTAAGACCCAGTTAATGTCTCTGCACTGCCCACCCAGCTGGTCACATATGACCAGGCACTGTCCTCGGTCAAAAGGAATTCAGAGTCAGCTGCCCCAAATGAGGTCTGAAAAAAGCTCTACGGCCTGAGGAACCACTCAGTACCACCCAGTCAGGGTACCAGTGGGTAGCAGGTCGGGGTCTGTATGTCCCTTCATGGATGTGTCTCCCCAAATCATCACCGCCCCACTGCCAAACTGGTGCAGGTGATATTTACTACAATTCTGTAACGGAAACCCTTTTTAAACTGCACAGATTACTGAGAGCCAAATATTCAGGCACATATACACAATTTGCAGTAGTTTACCCACAGTGTGTGGTTTGGTCTATGCTGTATTCTAAACAACAGGAAGAAGAGCGTTCACCAGCATGCTAGCATTTCCTGCATCTTTCACAATTTAGCCACAAAGGACAGTAGATAAAGTAATAACTGACTGTGCTCGTGCTGTTTTCTCAAGCATGGTGGTCCATTAGTTCTGGAGAATGTGTTAAAGATCAGACATGCAACACTTTCACGTCCTGCATGTTTTTAATATTGTTTACTGAATGGATTTTACTCCAATATAACCAACAGTACACAAAAAGAAAAGGTTCTAAAGTCACAGTCATCTTTCTGACTGTTTGGTGCCCATGGCAGATAACTTGTCTCTACAGATATTCTAAACTTACAACCCCTCTTTGTCACAAAGCATGCAGACTGCAGTTATGTTATCTGTACTGTTGTTTGAAGCCTTTACAGAATTAAATAACACTCACAAAGTGTGTGTGACTCAATTTATTTCAAATTTCAGCAAATGGCTGCAAGATATTGTCTCCATATAGGAAAATAGGCCTTACCCTATAAAATACATTCAGAAATCAAGTTGCATTACAATTAAACACTGTTACCTTTTTGCATTCTTTTTTAAACCAGTGTTATCAGTTGACTTAATCATTGCACTGTGGTGACCACGGTCTATGTCCACCTAGAACACCAGGGTAGGTAAAGCTTGTTAATTCACTGGTTAAGACTGAACTGAAGTGTCCAGTTTGAGTAAACAAATTAACATGTACAGGATCTCAAAGATAGTCCCAGGCAAACTGAATTACTGTAGTGCAACTGTTGGGTTATTTACCGGAATGATAACTGCTCTTTTTCCCAGCTAAAATAATAAAAATAGTACTTAAACTGTTTGTTTCGGACTGTTTTGACCTCTGAGTCTCAGACTGGGAGGTCCAGCCTGATTAAGAGGTCACCCTGAGGTGCTCCAACATCTCCAGAGTTATACCTTACACATTGTGGTCCAGAATAGATGTTAACAGAAACAAGATCAGAGCACCACCTCTATGCACTGGTCTAGTGGTGATGCAGCATTCTGTTGTGGATTTCAAAACGGAAAATTTGACATGAGCGCCAACATCTCCTTTCTTAAGAGCTTTCTTAAGTTTTGTCCACTTTATTGATCGAGCAGAGCAATGTTCTAGTTTAATAACTGAGCTGGCATGTTTAATAACTGCTTTGACTGCTGTTCTTGTAGTGATGATCGTGGATCTCCTGGTGAAAATCTTCATCCTTCAAACAGATCAGGTCAATCAGACGAGTGACCGAACAATTGCAAATGTCTTTTTTCGCCAGAAAGTAAATGAACCACTGCCCTGACCCTACTGTGTTTTACTTGTCATCAAACAGCTCGTCATCGGATCCCTTGTCTGCATTCGTGACACTCAGTTTCACTAAGCCTCGGTTTTTACCTTTGACTTACAGAGGGCAAAGTTTTGGATGATGGTGCATTCTGTGATTGTGCCATACTCGCTAAAGAGTGTCCTGAATTCTTCCTCATCTGCCTTTTGGGGCACATTTCCCACAAAAATATATTCACCATTGTTAAATATCTGAATAAAAAACGTTTATAGACAAAAAGGAGAAAAAAAATATGACACTTGGAAACAGGATTAACTTAAGTATTGATGAAAATAAATGAAAGCAACAGTCGTCCTGATGTCTTAGAACAGCAGCAGGATCGCATATTACTTTTTTGTATTTGTCTTGTAAATTACTGCACTCTTGTGGCCACAAGCAGGTACTGCATCTGAAAGCTTTTCTGGGGAGGTAGTTGTGATCAGATGACAAAGATGGAGCTTGTGAAACAGAGGGGAGAGCAGCATTTTTGGACAGCTCTGGCTTTGATGGGTGACTAGTTATAGCTGTGAACCCAAATCTACAGCGTGGTAAATACACTTTGAAAGCGTACAAGCGTCTTAAAACAGTCCGCTAGCAAGCAAAGCTAAGCTAACACTCAACAGCGCTGCAGAGGTGAAAAGCGGCGGAAAAACACTGAGGTTAGGAACTATCCAGCTTTTAAAATGCGACCAATTGTAAATATCGTGACAAGACGATATACATGCCCTGCTACTTTTAGCCGCCACAGCGATTTAAAACCCGTGGAGACGTTTCCTTTTACCGACTTCCGGTGCTTTTTTGCCTGCCTGCCACGATACAAGCTAGATTCTATGACAAACACAGCGCCACCCTGTGTATAGGAGGGCGCATTGATCTACTGAAGGACTGGTTAATTTAAAGAAAAGTAAACCAGTACTTTAGACCTTTCAAGCCAATGATAACTAATAACTCTATGGTACATATAATCTACTTTCTATTCAATATGCCCAGTACAGTTAAAAATTATAATACTGCACTATTTTCTGTCTGAACAGCCTTAAACAAACTTCCTGTATCATACCGTGGCCCTTAAGTAAGTGACTTCATAAGCTGTGGTATGAAATGGTTTGTACATGTTTGGTCATATCCACCTCTCCGACATTTATTAACATTAGCTTTTCTCTGCTTGACTCATATCGTGGCAGAGGATTAGTTAATGTGTAACAGTTGAATATTGCAGAGTTCCTTCTTCCCGCTCTAGTTTTAGATACTGTGAAACAGATGCTGTGCCTTAATGTCAACTTTAAGGTTCATCCATGGACTCCAGGTGGAGATTTCACCAGTGTAGTGTGACATTCATACGCTCATCCACAGAGTGTGTGTTAGACTACTCACCAAGCTATGAGAATATACTGTGTCAATAGTAGCCATGCAGTCACAGAGTCCTCTCTTAAGTATTTCTTCACTAAACACGTTTTTTCAGGGAAATTCTATTTTCCTGACTTGTCTTACAGACACCTACCCAAAATTCTACACTGTTAACAAAATCAAATCAAATAAACTTTTTTTTTCTTTTCCAATAACGTGAACTTTACTTCATCCAGAACAGTCTTTGTGGTATTTGCAGATTTGCACTTGAAACCAGCAGGGTTACTGCAGAGCCAATGAGGAAACTTCCTTGAAACAAAGACAGCCGCTTGTAAAGAGCAGTATAGTCATAAAGACTCATTCATATTTTTCTCTGGCGGCGACAGCACAGTTAGTTGAATCTTCTTACTGAGATACTTTGCATTTCTTGTTTTCCATTTTACCGGTTAAAAGCAGCAATCTTCTACAATTTGAAAACTAAGTCACATTCTTACCTAAGATTATGTTTTTGCCTTGCCTCCAAATCAAGCTTTACCATCCTCAGCAGAGCTGTAAGGGCTTTTATGGTCGTCTTCCTCTGGGAGCCAGAAGAAGACACACTGCCGACGACCCTCTCAGGCTGGGCCGTGACACCGAAACCTGTGCCTACGTCCTGCTTGATCCCCGGGTGTCCCGTAAGCAGCTGGCGCTCTACGCCTACCACATTCCCCAGAGCTCAGAGATGCTGTTTACCATCCAGAATCTGAGCCAGAGGGGGAGACTGTCAGTGAACACCTCAGCACTGGGATACCTGGAGAGGATGGATCTGCCATACAAAGCTCTGATCCGGTTCGGAGAGTATGAGATCCTGATCATCCGCGAGTCTGGTGAAACCAAGGCCAACTTTGAGGTAGAGTTTGAGGTGCTGGCAGCACCTCCTTCCAGAGAGACACCCATGAGTATGATGAACAACTTCTCAGCTGAGCTCAGTGTACGCAACCCTCTGGAGAGTGATGAGATGCACTATCCTTACTGACATGTATATTGTTTATGTTAATGACTTAGCGAACTTACAGGCAAATTGCTGTGGTGTTGTTACATTAGAGTTCAAGCTGGCTGAGACAAATCTGCCCTCTTTGTACCCTGTAGATATTAAAAAACTCTTATCATAATATGATTACAGCTACATTTAAAGCGTTTTAAATGCAAATGTTTTAGAACCTTAAAGCAACTTGTTTCTATATTTTCAGTGTAAGAAATTAAACTGTTTTTCTGCACATGGTTTTAGATAATGTTTGATGTGACTGCCAATTATACACACTTTGAGTTTATGGAAATGGTTTATAGAGGCCTTTACCTTGAACACAAACCAATTTGGCTTATTGAGACAGGTTTATCAAGAGATCAGATAAAACAGCTACAGTTATAAAGTGATCTACATACACGACAAAGTGCAAACCCGAATAGTTTCAGACACAGCGTTCTGACATTTTGTCAGATGAATATAATTAAATATAATTTATAATTCTAATTTCCTTTGTGTGTCTTCAGTGTAACAGTTACAACATGGTTTTCCAGCTCAGGGCCATGCAAGGAAATAAAAATGACATCCGTAGCTGCAGGTACTGCAAAAGTCTCAGATAAGTCCACATAAACTCCTCAAAGTGTCAACAAGAAGTTTACAGAAAAATACTTTGGGGAATGTAGGCTACTGTTGTTGCATCATTACTAGCCAGTATGGCAGGTTCAGACAAAAACAACATTTTTGTTGCCATAGTGAGAAAATATAATTTGAATTAGGTAAGCCAGCCATAGAGACACATGGGTCATCTGTTACCTCTGGGTCAGGTCCAAAAACTAGTTCTCATTGTCGTAGAGCAAAGTCCAACCTAAAGGTTCATGTTCCTACATTACTGAATTTACAAAGGGGGAACTCTGCTGAAGCTGTATCAGATTGTTATCTTATCTCGTGCTACATGAGATGAGGTGGAGATGCTCCAGCACGCTTATGACTAAATGACATTTCCCAGAAAAAGCAGATAAAATTATGTTTCTCATTCTTTGGCTAAACTTGATATTTTACTTTCAGTTTTACTATGATTCTCCTTTGTGTTCTACTGGGAAAATCAGTGTTACACACACACACACACACACACACACACTATATACATATATAGAAACTAAAAGTTAAAGTCACTTTTTAAGATATATATGTACTATGCTGCTCTATACAGCATTATATGTTTTTAAAAATACCTTAACTTCATTAAGATGAGGAGTTAAATTAATAAGAATCAAACCTAAATACACAATATGATTAAGACCAAGTTGGAGGGCTCTTTCTCCCCATCACTGCGTCACTTGTGTCAGGTTTACAACAGGGAAACATCCTCTGATGAGTTTGAAGTTTCTGGTTACTCAGTGACTATTGAATGCAGCTTCCACACTCTGGTGATAGAAGAGTATTTATTGTCTCATTGCAACTTTCTGCAGATATTGTTTTACCGCTGTTTGGAATTTATTAGTCAAGATGGGGAAGTATCAGGACGCTGTTACTGCTCTGAACACTTACTATACATAACATCACACAACATAAGTTTGCCTTCAGGAACTTTGCCAGAAATGCTCACTAAAATATTAATATTGTTGCTGAAAGGGTTAATGGTAACCTAAAGCCTTGTCCTGACAGCAAACATCACTCACTAAGGTTTGCTGGCATAGTGAAACAACTTTTAAACGGATCAATTTACACCCAATCCTGCCACATGAAGTTAGTTGTGCACTTATTTATATCAAAAGTAGGAATTAATGTACACAAACTGTCCTAAAGTGTAATTTTTTATAGCAAAATTGAAATCCTTATTTTTAACTGATTTTGGTTATGGGACAGAAAAAAAGTGTTTCCCCATTCCATGACAAAAAGCCTGAATTTAGTTTTGTAGTATAAAATCTATGTTAGATTTACTTTCCCATATAAAATTGAGCAAAGAGCTCTTCCCATGAGGTATCATAGCTCTGCTACTGTCCAGTTAAAAACCAGGATGTTAAGAAATTGCTTCTTGTGCACGTGTTTGAAGACAAATAAATTTGGACAGGGCCAATGTGCAGTAGCAAACAGAACTAAAACAATGCAGTGAAAACAGTGACTCAAATGGCAACCAGCCAAGTAACTAGACACACAGCATGTAAGTTAACAGAGTCCATGTTGTTGTTTTTAAATATTTTATTGATATTTGCAAAAATCCAAAAACTAACAATACATTAAAGAAATTATTACTGTGAAATTCCCACACACTTAACCAACTTCATGTTTACAAGGGTTTAAAATCTATATTTATCATATATAGAAATATCACATCTTCAAGTCCAAATGTAGTGTTCTGTGGTAAATCCTTCACATTCATTCAATCAAAAAGAAAAAACTGTAAAAATAAATTATTCAAATTTCCAATTTTAAAAAGACCTCGACTTTCCCTAAAAGCTGCCATCATTTTTTTAAAATTCAGATGCATTTGAAACCCTACAGCTGGCATCCAATCTGTCAGCAGCAAAGCGTACCGCTCACAGTCTGTACAGTGTACATAAAGAACAGCCGGACAGTTTTGCAGACTAGCTAACACCTCTGAACCTCAGATTTCCCTAAAATAGATAAGAGAGAACCCAAATAAATAAGTGATCCAGTATTAGCCATCTATGAGCGATGGAATGACACAAACCAAAGCACCACTGTTCTTATTTAACCCCACTACCCCCTGCCCCAGCTGCTCTCTCACTTGTCCCTATCATCATTAGCAAACTGCAGACAGGCAGACGACAGTCGAGTTCTTCTCCATGCTGTGATTCAACATTAGAGAATGTGACAGATGTCTGATTACTTAAAAATGACCCGTTCTTTCAACTGCCGGCCCATGGCCCAAATCCACACTAGCACTGTTTACTCATTGGAGTGGAGGGTGAGATATACTGAGTGCTGATCCATACTACCTAAGTGGAAGTGGGTTACGAATCCCTAAACCACAGGTGTCGAACTCCAGACCTCGAGGGCCACGATCCTGCTTCTTTTCAAACTAACCAGCCCTTGTAGCTTCTTATTGGCAAAGCACACCTGATCCAGGTAATCAACAGCAGTAGTGCAGGATATCTCACAAACAAGCAGGATACTGGCCCTCGAGGCCTGGAGTTTGAGACCCCTGCCCTAAACGGTCTACACCATGGGTGTCGAACTCCAGGCCTCGAGGGCCAGTGTCCTGCAGATTTTAGATAACATCTTGGGTCAACATACCTGACATTTTGAAGAGGTAATTTAGCCATTTAAATCTGCCGCCCTCAAGGCCTGGAGTTCAACGCCTGTGGTCTACACCGAAGCAGGCGTACTAACCAACAATTACACTCACATGCCAGGTTTACACACACCGGATAGCTATAGAAACCACAGATGACAGTGGAAGTTCATTTAACCTTCAGAGAAGCACAAGGGCCTTAACAGACTCCACAAAACCAAACTGAGTTAACATTTGTTCTCAACTTTCCTTCACCTGTTCAATCTAGCTTAAGACATTTGTGTAAGATTTTCCAGCATGATGATGTTTTTCCCCAAAAGATGCGTAAGAGTGGATCATTCCATCACTAAATAACTGACCACACCTGATGGTTTTCTCTTATTCATGTTCCCTGTATCTACCTTTGGTACTTTCAGGACTTTTTTGGCATAAAGAGCCTAAAGAAATCCCCAACTTTTTTCTGGCTACTACAAAAAACTATTGAATGAAAGTAATAATTCACCTAAAAGAATCATACAAATGTGGAATGTGTTTCAGCACTACATCAGCATTCTTTCCAATCCAGTAACCTGTCACTTACCTTTTCACTGCGAAGGTGTCCAGAAGTTGTTGAGGTAATACCCCCCTCCCCCTCCCCAATATGACTCAAGGTAAACCAGTCTCACCTATCAAAACCAGTGTGGGTTCAGTAGGTTTAGAGAGCGCTAGCTCGCTAGCTTTTCTTTACTTGCCTTCAACTTTGGCACTGAGGAAAGACGTCAGACGCCCTGCTGAGGAATAAAAGCTGCAGCATTTCAGACAAGACCAGTGAGGAAAGTTTGGGCGTGTTTTTTTTTTAATCAGCGTGACGATTTTAACAAGCTTGTCTCACGGTATTTCATCGCTAACAAACGGATAACTTAAAATAATGATATTTCCGGTGACCCTACAACAATATTTGAATCAGGTTAATTAGAAGTGTTTGACAATGCACATATAAACGCTCTGAGGAGGCTTCCGATTGACATTTATTTTCTGTAAGTTAACAGTTACTTCCTGCATGCATCGAACTCCTACATTTGAGCAGTTTAAGTTTTCACAGCGGTTTGTTGTGCGGTGTAAAAGTTTTACATGATGGAGTCAACGTGCAGATTAGATTTTATACCAAACAAAGTTAAGTTCAGTTAAATCTACAGTCACAAGTATCGCCTAGAAACTGTTGCTGAACTCATTCAGCTTCTCTAAGGTCACAAACAACATCAGTATTACTCAAACGAAAAAGTACAAAAAAAATAAAATAAAAAATAAACACCTACTCCAGACGGCAAGCAGTAAAAGTACTACAGCACAATTACATATTAAAACAACCAGGAGGAAAAATACGAGTGTAAAATTGCCTCAAAGTAATAAAAACAGAAAGAGACGTGGACGTCGGCTATTCGGTTCCTCCTGTCAGCATCGCAGGGGAACGTTACGCGCTCAGCCACTGACAGGGAGAGGATAGAGTCACGTGCATCAGGAGGCGCCGAGCGGCGACGCAGTCGGACGACAATCCTGAAAAAAAGAGCAAATGACAGAAATGAACGATCTGCAACTCTTGAATACAGGACGTTTTTCCAGGTTAATTTCTAATTCGACTTGTTTTTCCCGAAATTCAGAGATTCCATCCTCAACAGTGCATCTTTGTCGTATTATAACACACTTAGTACTATTTTGTTATCTGAAAAGCCATGTTAAATGGATCGACGTGCATTACCAACGAATTTACTTGTGGAACAGCACCTTGTACGCATGCTTTTCAAATCCCCGGCTGCCTCTGCCGTTACAGGAACGCTGTTTTAGGAAAGAGCAACACCAGTCTACCTCAGACCTATCCTCACCTTCAAAATGCGCCGCCCTTGCTTAATAAGCGTAGCGTGCAGGCGGTGGCGGAGGCAGCCGATCTGCGTAGGGGTCCCTTGCACGTGGAACTCCGTATGCAGAGCGATCATAGGAGTAGCCGTTA